GAGTCGAGGAGATCGGAAGAGTATATTTGGCGATGACCAATATATCGGAATTCTCTGATCTAATCTGGCTAGCGATTGCGGTTGATGTTGAGCACGGCGTTACCACATGTGATCTGGTGCGGATGCATGACCGAGCGCCTTCAGCTAGATGAGTCCACTAAAACATATGTCGAAAACTTAGTGCTATTTATTTTGGGGATTTATTTACCGCTACAGATCACTCCTCCCCTAGTGGGCAGTGATGACCCTAAGACGTGGCCAGCCAGAAGTTTAAACCCAACGAGTTTGTCGTTGGTAAACACTCTTCTGATAGCATCGTCTGGTCGCCTTTCCTTACTATATGGGACCGAGGTACAACATAGTAAAAAAAGAAAAAGTACAATGAAAATTTCGGCTCCTCGTAGACTGCATCGTTCTTTTCCAGCCGTCCTGGAAAAGAAGAAAGAAAGTGTAGGTGCATGTCGAAATACACTCGTATGTGCGTAAAAACACAATGTCGGCGAAAAAAAGGAAAATAAGCTCAATCACACGTAATAGCGTTAAAAACATGTTTTTCGATTTTTGTTTTTTTTTTCGAAATAAAAATATAAATATATAAGCGTATTAAAATTTGTTTAAAAATTATTATATATCGTGAAAAGAAAGATCGAGATAATATAAAATGTCGAGTAGTGCTTTACGTGCAGTAGTCATTTAAATGTTCTGGAAATCATACTCTTCTTCCAAAACGCGTCGTTTTAAGTTTATTTTCAGACACATTCGGAGTATCATCGCTAGTGTTGGTTGTCGGTTGAGGAATTATGAGTGGAGTCGTGTCGTTCGATTGTAACGAAGGAAAATCGACGTAGATAGGATTTCCTTCTAAATACGCTGCTTTGAGGCGATCGATGCTGATGCTATCGTTTGTTCCGTTCCTATCGACTATATAGTACTTAGATTCACGTTGAAGAACTTTGAAGGGTCCTTCGTATGTTGATTCGAAAGGTCGTCGATGCGAGTCTCGACGAATGGAAACGTGTGTACTTTATCGAAAGTCAGATTGAACGAAAACATCAGTTGATTAAGGTCGAGTTGAAGCAGGTTTAACTGAACGCATTGCGTTTGTAAGCCTGTTCGTGTAGGAGGTTAGATCCATGTTCATTGAAGAGGATGAAGGATCCACGAATTCTCCTGGAAGTCGAAGTGTCGTTCCATAAACGAGTTGAGCCGCAGTGTATCCAATGTCGGCTTTCACTGCATTGTGAATACCTAGTAAGACGAGTGGAAGAGCATCAGTCCACTGTGAAACGTTCGCAGCTGATAGTGAGTCTTTTAGTTGTCGGTGAAAGCGTTCTACTAACCCGTTTGCTTGTGGGTATTAGGCGGTCGTTCAGAAGTGAGTGATTCCTAGTAGTGCTGTCAGACGACGGAAAAGTTCAGATTGAAACTGACGTCCGCGATTTGTAGTGATGGTTGAAGGGCAGCTGAAGTTTGCTACCCATCGTTCGACGGAGGCGCGAGCTACTGTTTCAGCAATGATGCCTTTGATTGGTACTGCTTCTGGCCATCGAGTGAAACGGTCAGCGCAGGTTAAGAGATAAGAGTATGCGTTCGAATCTGGTAAAGGTCCTACCAAATCCAGATGAAAATGGTCGAAACGAGCATTGGGAGTTTTAAATGAGTCTAAGGGACATTTATTGTGTCTGATAACCTTAGATTTTTGGCAGCTTACACCTATAAATTCAGATTCAGATTCAGATTTGTGTAGTAAGGACAGAAGACCTACGGCCTATGTTATTCCTTTTCTAGTATGTTTCTGTGAGTGCTCAGTCTTCTCTTGAAAGAGTCAATTGAAGGTGCGGACACCACTGCTTCAGGCAGCAGGTTCCAAGTATTGATGACACGGTGTGAAAACCTGTATGCCACGGGTATTTTGTTCGTTCTTGGCTTTTCTACTCGCCTGCTATGTCCTCTGAGGTGTCCCGACCTAGTGGGAAGAAAGAGAGAGAATAAGTTAGGTCCGAAATCGTTTCTCAGTATTCTGTACATCAAAATTAAACCTCTCCTTAGTCTGCGATAGGACAGAGTAAAGAGGTCCATTTTTTCAAGCCGCTTGATGATGTCACAGGTATTCAGTGTTTGACAACGCTTCTACCAGTAACGCCTTCTAATATATTTCGTTCCTACCCAGAGAAATCAAAAAACAGAGTCGAGGAGATCGGAAGAGTATATTTGGCGATGACCAATATATCGGAATTCTCTGATCTAATCTGGCTAGCGATTGCGGTTGATGTTGAGCACGGCGTTACCACATGTGATCTGGTGCGGATGCATGACCGAGCGCCTTCAGCTAGATGAGTCCACTAAAACATATGTCGAAAACTTAGTGCTATTTATTTTGGGGATTTATTTACCGCTACAGATCACTCCTCCCCTAGTGGGCAGTGATGACCCTAAGACGTGGCCAGCCAGAAGTTTAAACCCAACGAGTTTGTCGTTGGTAAACACTCTTCTGATAGCATCGTCTGGTCGCCTTTCCTTACTATATGGGACCGAGGTACAACATAGTAAAAAAAGAAAAAGTACAATGAAAATTTCGGCTCCTCGTAGACTGCATCGTTCTTTTCCAGCCGTCCTGGAAAAGAAGAAAGAAAGTGTAGGTGCATGTCGAAATACACTCGTATGTGCGTAAAAACACAATGTCGGCGAAAAAAGGAAAATAAACTCAATCACACGTAATAGCGTTAAAAACATGTTTTTCGATTTTTGTTTTTTTTTCGAAATAAAAATATAAATATATAAGCGTATTAAAATTTGTTTAAAAATTATTATATATCGTGAAAAGAAAGATCGAGATAATATAAAATGTCGAGTAGTGCTTTACGTGCAGTAGTCATTTAAATGTTCTGGAAATCATACTCTTCTTCCAAAACGCGTCGTTTTAAGTTTATTTTCAGACACATTCGGAGTATCATCGCTAGTGTTGGTTGTCGGTTGAGGAATTATGAGTGGAGTCGTGTCGTTCGATTGTAACGAAGGAAAATCGACGTAGATAGGATTTCCTTCTAAATACGCTGCTTTGAGGCGATCGATGCTGATGCTATCGTTTGTTCCGTTCCTATCGACTATATAGTACTTAGATTCACGTTGAAGAACTTTGAAGGGTCCTTCGTATGTTGATTCGAAAGGTCGTCGATGCGAGTCTCGACGAATGGAAACGTGTGTACTTTATCGAAAGTCAGATTGAACGAAAACATCAGTTGATTAAGGTCGAGTTGAAGCAGGTTTAACTGAACGCATTGCGTTTGTAAGCCTGTTCGTGTAGGAGGTTAGATCCATGTTCATTGAAGAGGATGAAGGATCCACGAATTCTCCTGGAAGTCGAAGTGTCGTTCCATAAACGAGTTGAGCCGCAGTGTATCCAATGTCGGCTTTCACTGCATTGTGAATACCTAGTAAGACGAGTGGAAGAGCATCAGTCCACTGTGAAACGTTCGCAGCTGATAGTGAGTCTTTTAGTTGTCGGTGAAAGCGTTCTACTAACCCGTTTGCTTGTGGGTATTAGGCGGTCGTTCAGAAGTGAGTGATTCCTAGTAGTGCTGTCAGACGACGGAAAAGTTCAGATTGAAACTGACGTCCGCGATTTGTAGTGATGGTTGAAGGGCAGCTGAAGTTTGCTACCCATCGTTCGACGGAGGCGCGAGCTACTGTTTCAGCAATGATGCCTTTGATTGGTACTGCTTCTGGCCATCGAGTGAAACGGTCAGCGCAGGTTAAGAGATAAGAGTATGCGTTCGAATCTGGTAAAGGTCCTACCAAATCCAGATGAAAATGGTCGAAACGAGCATTGGGAGTTTTAAATGAGTCTAAGGGACATTTATTGTGTCTGATAACCTTAGATTTTTGGCAGCTTACACCTATAAATTCAGATTCAGATTCAGATTTGTGTAGTAAGGACAGAAGACCTACGGCCTATGTTATTCCTTTTCTAGTATGTTTCTGTGAGTGCTCAGTCTTCTCTTGAAAGAGTCAATTGAAGGTGCGGACACCACTGCTTCAGGCAGCAGGTTCCAAGTATTGATGACACGGTGTGAAAACCTGTATGCCACGGGTATTTTGTTCGTTCTTGGCTTTTCTACTCGCCTGCTATGTCCTCTGAGGTGTCCCGACCTAGTGGGAAGAAAGAGAGAGAATAAGTTAGGTCCGAAATCGTTTCTCAGTATTCTGTACATCAAAATTAAACCTCTCCTTAGTCTGTGATAGGACAGAGTAAAGAGGTCCATTTTTTCAAGTCGCTCTTTTTATGAAAACCCAGGAGTTCAGGAATTACACGTGTAGCTGCCCTCCGTACTTTTTCTAGTATGTCCGAGTCACCTTTTAGGCGGGCGCTTGCAGCCTGAACGCAGTTCTCTAGCCTAGTTATCACTAAGGATGTGTATACTGTTGTGAACATGGTAGTATCCAACTTTGTGAATGCCTTTTTTAAAGCCCAGAGGGTTCCAAACCCCTTGGCTGCGACCTCCCGGCAATGGGCCTTCGTCTTAAGATCATTACTTACTGTCAATCCTAGATTCTTATGAGACCGGACTACTGGTAATGACACATCCCCTATGTTGTACGTATTAACCTTTGAATCCCCCATGTGCATGTAGACACACTTTTCCGAGTTGATAGGCATCAGCCACTCCTTGTACCAGTTTATCATACTATTATTCAGCGTGTTGTGAAGAACGAATTCATGTTTTTGAAAATTATTCATCAACTCTGAGCTATGTGGTGCCAGTTCACTTCTGTGATTAAAGATGGTCTCTGGACTTTTAGGTAATACAAGAGCAACAGAGCGACGTTTATTTTCCCAACCGCATCTCAGTGTATAGGATTAAGGATAGCGGATCAACCTTTATTACGGTACTATAATTGATAGTGAAATAGAAATACTTTGCATGCTTGTCCAGACCTGGACATCTCAGAAATCATAGAAATCAGACTAGTTGCCCATTGAATGGCGGGAACATGTGAAGGGTGTCACTTCTGGACGTTCCGTTTATTTGAACGTTGATTTGAGTTTTGGGTGTAAGTTGTCTCGTATAATCTTACTGGGAGTCCGATTCTGTCGTAGATCATAAAGCATTAGTTATAAACTCGCTTACTAGAGTTGCTGATCGACCACATACCAACAACAGTGAACTCGACACCCTTCAGTGCAATCATAATGGATCAACCTTTATTTTCTTGCACAAAATGCCTGCAAAATTTCCCACAGTCTGAGATGTCCAGGTCTGGACAAGCATGCAAAGTATTTCTATTTCACTAACCATTCTAGTGCCATAATATTTAGAAGTGCAGTCCTCACCACTCTACATTCAAACAATGCGAATATTGCAAATCTGACTTTAAATACAATGTGTAAGTTACAGAAACTCAGTTTATTCTTGGGGTTTCCTAAGTTGCGGCGGTATCTGCCCACACTGTCAATCTCTTAAAAGCAAGTACGGCGAGCCTCAGTCTTGTTCCATATGCAATTTAAAAACTGCTTTTGGCAGTGCCTTGGTTTGCCAGAGGTGCTTACACTACAGAAACAGATTCGGTGAGCCACGCCAGTGTCATTCTTGTGGGAATACGTGTGCCTTTTTAAAAGATGAGGTAAGGTTTAGTCTTAATTAAAATTTTTCCAATATCACTTGGTAATATAGGGCTCGTTCAGATTAGATAGTAGCAGGTCCATGTTCAAATGATTGTGGTCAAAATAGAGGATATCGTCCCTAAGATTTGTGTTGAGACTACTTAAGTGTCTTGAGTAGTTAGGATGCTGCAAGTTATTGAAAGGCTACCTCTTAGAAGCCTATACTCTAATTGATAAACGTCCAGTGATTTGAGGCGCTCTTCGTAAGATTTGGATTTGGGTTCTCGTAGCTTGCCTTCAGGTACGTTCCAGTGTATTCATATGCTTTTGGAGTGAAGGAGGAAACACTTTCCATACCCTGAATAAAACTGTTAGCGATTAAGTGGAGAGTTGTATTGTCAAACTGGCTAAAAATGCGCTTCAACATTCTCGGTGCAATGTCCGATCAAAAAGCACTTTTTCACAGCCAAAACAAGACGTTAAATCATGGGGTACCAAGACTCATACACCTTTTTCAACACTGGCTACCTCTAGAGAGGCGTTGTTCAAGTTGTATGCGTAATCTGCAACATGTCTCTGGTTACTTTACAATTTGAAGTGTTGAAAGTAATTCCGGTGTTATCCGCTCAGCTTGGAAGTCGATTTGTATCCTTCTGGAGCTCCAGCTTATCATCTTTATTGCAAACTTCTTTCCGAAGTTTAACGTCGTTATACGATACTTGCTGGAGGAGGCCACCTATGTGAAGTAGAAGGATTAGGTTCTAGTATTAGGCTCAGGGGGGTCCCACTAGAACATTCTGTAGCCTGGGGAAAATTAAACTTTATTGTGTCGATTATTTCGATATTAAGTAAGCCAGTCTATCAACAGTGACTTGACGCCTAACAGTTTGAACTTATCGATGAGACATATATAATTGGCCCTGTCAAGCCTCTTGAGAAGTCGAGATATATCATATCAATCTTCCCTTTGCGACCAAGGATGGCTTTTCATTTGTCCACCGCAGTCAGCAGATTGTTATACAAGTGGCCCTTCCTGGAACCGTGTTTCTGTGGTAAAAATAAGTTTGTAGATAACCAGTAGTCGCGTAGACCCTCGTATATCAAGGACTTTTTAAGGGTATTAAGAGAAGTGCTATCGGCCAGTAGCTTAAAGATCCATTGCTTTGGCCTCCTTTGAAAATTGGTGTAATGTGCTCCAGCTCCCAATTTTCTGTAGCCGTGTCCTGGCTTAGCGAATATGAAAACATCACATTAAGCAGTGTTGTCAAGATCGAGACCGCTTTTCCCTGTATAGCAGAGTGAACCATGTCCGGGGCAGAAAAAGTGTCTAAGTATTGGTTAAATACTGAGAAGACGAAATTGACTTGAAAAGTGTAACTTATTTGCTCTATAACAATCTAGTCACACACATACTTTTTAAGGCACTTTATGTGAAAATTAATAAGGGTCAAATAAGGGAGAGTTCAAGTCGACAAAATGATAAATGTAAACAGCAGAGAAAGAAAATTAACACAGTATGGAACGAACAGGAAATTGTCTCATTATCCTAGGCTATAAAATAACTGGGATTACCAGGGCAAATTCAAGGTTACGATTATTTGTTTCTGTGCACATAAAGGGGGTTTGAATTTGCTAATAACCAAAGCTTCTGCAAGTCTAAGAATTCGTCCTTGGCAATTTCCTTATATAATTTTAAAAGCTGTATTGATTTCGATTCTATGCCCCGTTTCAGTTGTGCTTTGCTATCGATGAACCTGGTCTTTTCTCACGTTTATCAGAACATTTGACACTAACCGGTTTCAAAGCCATCTACGCACATGTTCCATAACCCTTGGTTGCATTGTTTGATTGCATGTGCATGTATCCACACAAACATATATGGTCCTTGTTTAGACGCTTCAATTTCTGAAATACGAGTCCCAGCGCTAACGCTCGCTTCTGGGACTCCTCTTAGGTTCCAAGTGAAGCTCTCGTCGATGTAGTTTGCATGTGAAGGTTGAAATATTTAAAAATACTGTTCTGACAAGCACTGCGGGATCGCCGTCGTTTTTGGTTGGACCGTTAAGACTTAGCAACTGAGAAACTTTGGTTTGTCGAAGAAAGGCTGCATGAAGAAATAAGCTTTTCGGGTTGCAGACAAATTTGTCGATCAGCTTTATCTAATACTGAAGCCTATCTTCTCTTATCGTGCTTGTACATCAGTTTATTGCTTGTTTGAACTGCCTATATTTAATGTCGTCACTAGTCCATTTTAATTCCTCTCAGTAGTACCTTCCAAGTTTTAGCACTCTAAGAGTGCGACTATTTATGATTGGGTTGCTTGTAACTTTTGGGGACCGTTTGTGGGACAGAATGGCTAGTATAATGTAAGATCGTGCGCAGCAAGAAACACATGTGAATATCTAAATTGAGTTGAGGGAATGCAACTAAATCCACATGTTGTACATTGTTTTTTAGGGCTGACGAGTTTATCCGCTTAAAATTGCAGCTGTTGTCAGTAGGATGTTCGAGCTCCATTTTGCTAGTAAAATAGTGGCTATGAAAGTGTGATCACTTCTTCCCAGCGGAGTCAGGATTGTGAGTTTGTCAATTAGTAATTCTTCGTTTGTAACGGTTCGATCTGAACGTAACGTCGTCTGGTTGTTTGTTCACAGAGTTGCCAACTTCACTTTTCAAAACAATCTCAACTCTTCAGTCAGATCGAAGAACCCAACTTCAATAGTATTATTACTTCCATTGTACGTGTGTTCAGTTATGTGTACTTTACGAAGATTGATATATCCCAAGATTAGGGTGTGAGTCTTTTGAAGATGAATAACGTGAGATGGTTCTATTACCACTATTTCGACTTGGAAAAGTAGTTCCTGGATCGCTACTTATCATTGTGATGCGTTTGCTATAAAGTTAATTCACACTTTTATTTCGGTGCAAAATGTAAGAATAAATGATTAATTTCCGGATTAAAATAATTTTGTGAGTAGTCACTTACTGCACTTGCACGTATTTCACACTGGAAATTTTTGTCGTGTTATTGCAAAAAGTTCATCTAAACAGTCCAACTATCTATTTCAATCAAAAGGTATTAACACATTGTTTTGTGGGTATAATAGCTTTTTTCGTTAATATGAAGGCAGTATCTAATTGATAAACCTATGCCTATGCTCATTATTGGTAGCTAAATTTATTAATTATTTTGTGTTCATTGTGACTTGACGTTTTTGTTTTCCGATATTCTCTGAAGCATCATTCTTCACTAAAATTACTGTTGAGACAATTTTCAAATCCGTATATTTTTTCCTCGTTTATTTGTATAGGCCAGCCGAGAGAAAGTTGATGGTCAGATTCTTTGTTGGGTGTGTACATACAATTTTAAATTAGCTCGATCTAAAGAACGCTCTATTCATGGATTCAACAAACGTCGACATGATGGTTACCAGCTTTCAACTGCAAACCGTTCGAGATCAAGTCATAAGTAAGCCGGCCACTTTCTTTTTCCGCTCACCATGTAATTAAAGTGCTAGAACTCAGGTTTCTGGTCGATTTCAATAGTATTTTACAAAGCTCTAAACATCAAATAAATAAATAATGTCAATCTCGAGCTCTTTTAGAAACCGGTAGAGAAATATGTAGCAGTGAATTGTTTCTTGATTCATTTCCTATATTCATGAATAGTTCACGGTTGCCTATGACTGACTGAATAGCCCATTGTTACAGGCAAATTTCTTTTCAAAGTCACAAAATTGAGCCAAGCAAAATGAAAGAAGCGATATTTTTAGAATTTAAATGACCCCCATCCATTGATCTTGTGCTTAGATATCTACTTACGTCAAACAAGTACTGAAGGCTTAAATACTTTCTGACCTAACAACTACTAACATCATACCAACTGTAGACACACCAATCACTACTGAAGGTTAGTGGCTAAATACTGTTGCTTTTATCGGAATAATTAAGCTCGGATTATGTTTTAGTTCATATACATGTTTATCTTGGCTTTAATAAACATAGAAATTTCAACGAAAAGGTTGCTTTAAAAAGGGTTTTACTAGGTGGAGGGGCTGATAAAACGCAGTCTTTCGTATAACTTGGGTGATAGTACAAGAATTTCCAGAATATCTCTCATCCACTGCGTCCAGAGTGTTACCTCAGAAGTGCTCTACTTTAATTCTCAGTTTGGAGGTATAATGAAGCAATGGAGTCATTTGGTCACTCCACTTTAAGAGTAATTAAGTGGTGAGTTGGTGGTAGATGATATCTGAGAAAACACAAAATGCTCATCCTGCTTTTATCACATTATACCAGTAATGACGCAGGAGAGATATCTAAATACCCAATATAAGACGAATATTTTATGAAGTCCGCACGATGCTCTTTGACTGGTAGGGATGTTTACCCAAGGCAGATATGTGTAAGTCACAAATATTCACGTTTGCCTCTGAAACAACATCCCGTCTTTATAGATTGTCAGAGCATTCGGTGCTTGCCCAGTTACTATCTAGTGCGTCAAGTTTCGCCGGCTAAGATGGAAGTGGATCAAGGACCGTTGCTGCCCAGACAAAAGCAGCTGCAGTCCACAACATCAATGAGTGATCTGACCCGTGTGGGGAATTTCGGGTTTATTGTGTCTCATTCTATGAGATCGTGTCATATCGAGTTCAGTATTTCTATGTCTGCTAGAATGTTTATTTGATGACCCATGTGAATTTTTAAAAAGAATATTCCTTAATTCTTTAAAATAAAAGGTTGGAAACTTAGTGCCCATATTTCGTTTTCTAAACAATTCGAAAAGCTGTATTCACATAAACTTTTGAATTTTAGCTCTCTTAAAAAAACTTATACCGATGGGTTTGGAACAAGGCAAATTGACACGCAGATGCATGTACAACAGGCTTTAACTACTCAAGCACTAAGGTGAGTAATAGGTCATTGAGTAGGATTTATGTGTATATGCAATCGCTAATTGTGTGGTCATATGGAATGCTAGTGACTTATGAGTTGGTTAAAAACTAAGCAGTTCCCAATAGGCGCTGATGCTGTCAGACGTACCAGGACAACGCACCTGAGTTTGAATGTATTTAAAAGACTATTTTGGTTTCTCGAAATATTTATATATGAAAATAAATGAATAATAAGGGGTTCTACAACAAATAATTGTTAGTTTACGTTAAACTAATTCAAGGTAATTAACTCATCAATAACAATTAATCTCAACGCATACTGGCACATATGTGTGGCTGAACAGATAAGAAGAGTTAACCAATAAGGAAATAGTTCACAATTGATAAAATGCGAGGTATTAAAGTCTAGTTGCTCACAAGTAATATAGTTATAATACATACATTTCAAGAACCATGTGCTGTGAAATACTTTCTCGTTAGAGATAAATGCAGTGTTTAGACTAAAACGTCCTTGGGGATTATATGAATACGGTCGGATCATTCAATGAGCTTTTGTTCGATCCATCAACGACTATATTTCTTCTAAACTATGTTTCTCATTGCTGTCTATGCTTCTTACTAACTCATTTGCCTGGTAATTAGAAATGAGCCGCGCTAATAATTTACTACTTGGTTACCCAAACCGAAGTAGGTGAAGTGGGATTCAAATTCCCGACCAGAGATCCCTAAGCAAAACTGTCTTAGAACCTCCTTTCCAAGTTTGCCAAGTTCTCGACGCCCTGTGATCCTCGATTCATCACTTTCCCGTTTGCCTGAGAATTTCAAGTTAGGACTTGCCTCTTGATTCAGTTCAGTGGTTTCTACAGTGTCCTACCCACCCAACGCTTTTTCTTAATTTTCTTAACTGGAAGTCAGTTTCTTCTCAGTCAGAGTATGTTATTGCTGATGGTCTCTAGCCAATGGATCCGGAGTATCTTGCGTAGACACCTGTTTATAAACATCTGTACCTGATTATGGTGGTTGTGGTAGTTCTCCAAGTCTCAGCTCTTTACGATATAAAACTGCTTTGACGTTAGTGTTGAAAATTGTGACTTTAGTATTGAGTTCCAGATATTCTTCAGTTGTAGGAATGCTAGCCTTGGTTTGTTGATTAGTGCTTTCACGTCCGAATCAGATCCTCCTTGTTTATCGATGTCGCTGTCTAGGTAGTGGGGGTTTCTACTTCTTCCAGAGCCTCGCCATCAAGTGTGATTTGGTTGGTGTTCATTGTTTTGCGTTTCACGATCTTTCTTTTTCTCTTGTGAATGTGTTATAGCCCAAAGCCGCCAATCAGAAGCAGCGAATTATCGATTGGACCAAGGACGCGTAAAACACATGCGAGCAGCCTAGAGTTCTGATTGGTCCTGCTTTCCGCCTAACCCAGCCAGTTAAGTCCAGAACATCAGTCTCAGCCTCGTTATATTTCAAACATACTGAGTTTGTATATCAATCAAACAGACGACAACGTAGGATAAAATAGAAAATAACATTTGTACAAAATATGGCCAAATGTGGCTGTGAATGTGGGAGGCGGTGACTAACAGACGGCATAATTCAAGAATGGTAAAACGTATAATAATGGTTCATAGGTCAAAATAAATCTTATAATAAGAGGAACATAAATATGAATAGTTTAGTTATTTAACAATTATACGATAAAAATATACGTTTAGTATTGGTCCATAAAAGGATCCCAAAGTTACCATTCATTATGTTTCTCGGGACCTAACAGAATGTTGAGGCCTATTTCTATGGAAGAGGCTAGTACATTGGGTATATTCGTCTGCATTTGTTTCCGTGTATGCGACCGGGGGTCTGAGTCATCTCCAAAGTCCATATCGTCCAGTTGTGTCCACGGTATTCTATGCTCCTCCTTAGATATACAGGTCCTCATTATCCAGTCGACAGATGGCAGCAAGAAAATGGACGAGCATATGGAGCCTTTTTGACACCGGTCCGCAGTTGAAATACGTCTTGTAACTGTTCTCCACTCGCAGCTTTGCAGTTCAATCCTTTGTGAGGGTTCCGTATGAAGGTGACAATCTTCTTATTCTGCATTGACTGATGTCTTCCCTTCCCCGTCTCTTAGATATTTATCAGGCTATTTGCATCCTTTATATCGATGCTTTTTGCTAACCACCACCTTCAAAAAGGGTTCACGTCGCTCCTGGAACAACTATCGGGGGATAAGTCTACTTCCGATTGCGTCCAAGCTATTGGTTTCCTTCATACTTCGTAGGTTGTTCAAAACCCGAGAAAGATTGACTCGCGAGAAGCAGGCTGGTTTTCGTTCCGGTCGGGGGTGTATTGATCATATCTTCACCCTCCGCTAAATGTTAGAACACCGTCATACTTATTAAAGGCCAACAGTCGTAGTGTTTCTTGACATCAGGGCTGCCTTCGATTCGTTGGATAGGACTGTTCTCTGGGATCGTCTATTGAAGAGGGGTGTGCCTGAGAAGTTTATTAACATCCTAAAGGCCCTATATACAAACACCTCAGGCAGATTAAAGGCATACAACCACCTCTCTCCACTGTTCCATTTAAGCATTTGAGCATACTGTTGCAAGTAAGTATCGAACCGAGCTAGCTTCTAGGCTAGCATTTGAGCATTCGCATGATATTGTCTTACTGTGCGATAATACCCAAGCTATGCAATCCGCACCCAATCAGTTGGCAATCAATGTCCATAGGTACGGAATGTGCTTTGCACCTTCGAAGTGCAAAGTACTTCTACGAAACTGACAGGATCCTAATCCTGTACTCACCCTGGATGGTGGGCAGATAGAAGTAGTCGAGAAGTTCGTGTATCTAGGTAGCTGCATAAGTGCTGCTGGTGGCGTGAGTGATGAGACCAATGCACGCATAGTGAAAGCCAGAGCGGCTTATGCCAATCTGGGCCATCTTTGGCGCCTTCGTGATGTTAGTCTGGCTGTAAATGGTCGGATCTACAACACGTCGATGAGAGCAGTTTTGCTCTATGCTTGTGAGACCTGGCCTCTCCGAGTTGAGGATGTTAGACAACTCTCTGTGTTCGATCATCACTGTCTCCGAAGGATTGCTGACATCCAGTGGCAACACCATGTTAGTAATGCAGAGGTTCGGCATCGTGTGTTCTGGCGCAGATAATCCGATTGGTGTCACCATCTTGAAACGCCGACTTCTGTGGCTTGGACATGTTCTACGAATGTCGTCCCAGAGAATTCCACGCCGACCATTATTTGCCGACGCTGGGACTGGTTGGAAAAAGCGGAGAGGTGGTCAGTGTATGACATGGTGCCGTAGTATGAAAGAAAGCTGCAAAGGGCTGTCTTGTGTTGGTCCTTCACGACTCCCTTGCTGGGGTCCGAGAGATGGTGCGACACAGTGGCTAGAGACGTTATCAGATATGGCTCAGAATAGAAGCCAGTGGCGATCCTGCTGTAACCTTCTTTTACTTACTTCATAAAAAAATGGTTGTTTCTTCCTTAACTGAAAGATTTCTTCCGATTGTACCTTTATGTTTCCTCCATTATTATTATTATTATTATTATTATTATTATTATTATTATTATTATTATTATTACTACTACACTTCCTTACACTAGTCTGGTCGTTATTGTTCCTCTTCGTCTTCTTTTTCTTTTGCGCGCCTTACCTTTTTTTCTCCCCATTTTTATTGTTTTGTGTGGCGTATATATATTTGATGCCCCTTGTACCAATATTTATGTGTTCAAATAAATAAATACCCACCACCTCCTAGTATGTTGAAGTTGTTTCTTTTCAGATCCTTTTCCAGTCCTACACAATGGTTTCCACTTGTTCTAGTAGGCCTTGTAAGGCCTGGAACTAATTACTGTGAGCTATCATGAATTCAGTGAATTTTTTAGTATCTCAAAAAACGTCTTATTGACTTTTTGTAGTGTTGTTTGTCCAACTGTCCAATACCTCCTTTGCCTTAGTTTTAGTTCAGCCACTACCAGATGGTGGTCTGCAGCTATACGAGTTCGTTTCTTTGTTCTTACGTCTTCTGTTGGCCTCCTGATGCAGGTTTAATCGATCTGGTTCTCCCTAATGTCGTCCGGTGGAGCACATGTACCTCGATGTATATAGTTGAGAGGCAAAATGCTGCTGCCTATAACCACATTGTTCAGTCAGTCAGTAACAACGTAGAACTTCGTACGTACGTACATCAGTTCGAGTTGCCACACCACATTAGCACAGAGATGCAGTTGTCGATTCAAATCCCATAGTGGTAGAGGTAATAAGAGTATGAGCAGTAATCGGGAAGATTAGGGTTTGGAGATGTTATTTAAAGAGTATAATCCAGTGAAATAAATTTGGAAAGAGAAAAAAGAAAGGGACATGAAGAATTCAGAAGATTAGAATTTGGGAGAACACAGAGAGTGGATGCACCTGCGCCATTGCAAACGATTTTGAGCCTTGGCATTCAGGGTCTCTAACCATCGGTTGCTATCATCTCACGCTCCCCAACCAGGTAGTCTACACCTACCAACATGACTCAGTCCACTTGTCAGTGACTTCATGGACTTGTGCCATGTTTTGGTCTGGCCGCCCCTAGCTTTCTCCCAACCTACTCCTATACCACTGAACATAGCACGTCGAGGCAGTCGGTCGTTGGGCATACGTAACACGTGTCCCAGCCATCTCAACTGATGAAGTTTCACTACTTCATCAATTGATTTGCTATCCTTACCTAGTACCCGTTTCCTAACAACTGTGTTACTTACTCGATGGTCCCATGATATACGAGCAATGTTTCGAAGACACCTATGATCAAATACTAGTAGCCTACGGATATCCTCTACTCTTACCGGCCATGTTTCACTGCCATAAAGTAGGACGGAACGAACTGCTGCGCAGTAAACCCGTCCTTTGGTTGATAGACGGATATCTCGCCTACGCCATAAATGACGCAAGTTGGTAAAAGCTAGTCGAGCCTTCTGTATCCGTGATGAAATTTCGTCACACACC